AAACATATTTGTTGCCTCCCGGGGTGCTAGGAGCGTTGCAAGAATCGTTTCCCAGGATACGATGACTACGAGCTATTCATTGAGCACTCAACAGAATAGTTCCAGCGAACGAGAACAAAGCAAGAACACTCCAGAAGTTTTCAGAGAGACTGGAGGTGTATTTGAGCTGGGAAAAGACACGAAGTACGTGTGTACTGTGCGTTCGTGAGTTGTGTATTGTTGTAAATCACCTGCCAGCTACTTATACGAGGGATTAGGAGTTGTGTTAATGAAGGTTTAATGGACATGAACGTTGGCAATCAATGTCTATCACGTTGGCATTGATTCTCGTCCAGAAAACTGTTTGTTTAATTGCAGTAAGTCACAAGAACGTGGGGCATTTAATGTGTTGTAACGTCCCAGCAGCAGACTGCTGCGGACGTTCAACATTCGAGGGAGCAGCAGCCTGCTGCGCAGGGAACTGCGAACGTAGTAGTAGTAGCACGAAGGGTTTTTTGTCGTGTATGCACTCTGCACTCAAAAAAATAATCAACAAGGAACTTTGTCGTGTATGCACTCAAAATAATAATCAATACAACACTAATACGTAGTATAATGTAGTAAGGTTCGTATCCACAGGGAAAGAGATACTTCTCTTTTTATAAAACTGGAAATAAGTATTAAGGATTTTTTTTGGTTGATTGATGAACTTAAATTATATTTAAACACGAAGATGAACGACTTATGTGGTTTAATTAATGAGAAGGAGACTTGGCTTTGCTTTTTATCCACTTAATGAAGTGTTCGTCGATCCCGGTTATATCTTTAACTATCTTCCTCTCGAATACTCAATCGAGGAGTATATCCAATTCATCGAGGGTAGTTATTAATAACGAGACGCGTTCATTAATAAAACATACTACCGAGTCAATATAGAACATGCGCCGTATACTAACCCGATAGTAGCAATAAAATTAAGATGAAAACAATTGAGATTGATAACCTCAACACAAGCGGTTTATCGGTTTAATCAATATAATTAATTCCCCTTCGGTTATTAACCATGAGACGCATGCTTTAACAACCCAAGTTTACTACCGTGAAAGGACCGAATTAATAACAAGCGTATTAATCGATCGATTCTAGTAATAATTAATATATGAAACAAAACTAGTTGATCCTTTAAGTAATGCTCAAAATATTAATATGAAATAGGAGTAGGAATTAATTAATATTCAAGGAAGAAGATTAAAGAAAATAACTCACAACTTACAATTCATTAAGCTTCAAAGTAGCAAAACCAAGATGGAAAAGTTTAGCTCCTCATTTGGAGACTAAACATGAAGAAAATATAAAGAAATGACTTGTCTAAACTGAGTTTAGAAGTATATGTGAATTGGTGATTTTATTGTGAAGGAAAGGGGTGTATTTATAGGGTTTTGGGAGCTGCAGGGTCTGATACCTGATCGGGTATCTTTGGAAATTGCCCAGAAAGTCACTTTTGTGTGCATACCCGATCGGGTATGTCGGCATACCCGATCGGGTATGTGACAAATCTTCACGAAAATTTGCTCCCACGATCATTTGTTCCCGGATTTGATTTGGACATGGTACATGAGTATTTTTTCCAAATCGAAATCTTTCTTGTCTCCTTGCACTTTTCTTGATCTTTTAAGGTCCAATCTTGATCCCTTGGATGATCTTTGACTTGTTTAGCTCAGAATAATCCTAATCTAAACAAATTACAAATAAAAATGAAAATAAAATATTACACCAAAAGTGTGCAATTTCCACAACTAGAACTAATAAAAACTAGTTAAAAATACAAACATACAATCGGAAATTACACGAATATCACCTGCTCCAACCTGGAGCAAAAAATAGGAAATTAACGGAGGAACAAAAATTAACGTTTATCTTTAAAAGATAGAATTTTCGGACGACATTTGTGTCCGCAGGTCGCCCGCGCACACAAGTCGGACTTTTTGTTCTCCGGTTTCGGGATTTGATTCGCACCCCCCTGCGCGCGTGGAGAGAGCCTTTACCCTAAGGAATCTTAACTCCTTAAGGGGAGTTTCCCTTTATAAAGGGTTCAAATTCCCTTGGGTTTTCCGGTGTGGGAAAAAACCACACTAGAAACTCATCTTTTCCTAATTTTCCCCATTCCAACGAATGAACTTCGAGAATCAATTTTCATTCACCCGTTATCCATTTTGAGTGTACCATATATCGAATTGTAGTCCTAAGCAAGGATAATCCGAAACCACTTTGACCCGACCCAAATCGGAAGAGGACCCCACTCAAAAAATTGTCCCAAAATGACCATTTAATGCAAATTGCAACACATTTTCCAACAGTAGATTATGTCCATAAAATTTCAGTTTAAAAATCGATTAGTAAGTCAATTAAATAAATTATTATTGAAAAGCAGTGCATTACACACATATTTGCGCAATGTTTTTCAATAGTAATTTCTTTAATTGACTTCCCGAACGAATTATAAATTGAAATTGTGTGGACATAATCTACACTTATTGTAGAACATCATCACATAAATTTCATAAAAAATTCCATTGAGAACCGTCTCAAATGGCAGTGACCGAACGATATGTATACATATAGTGAGAAGATTACTCAATATATGCATATATGTATGTGTATACAAATCTAATACAAGTTGTCATCCACTGCCCGCATGCCACCATAATAGCTCTTCATATTCAAATGCACCTCATTACTCTTTACTATTGTACTATATATTTATATCTATCACAGTAGTATATATAGTAACTAGTCGATCGACCCGTGCGTTGCACGGTTAATGGATAAAATTGGTTTATTTTTAAAATAATTTATTTCATGAGTCATGTGTATACACATAGTTATTGCAAATGAGAAATCAGACTTATCAGCCAACTTTTTCACCAAACACGTAATGCTTGCTTTCCCGTGCCGAGTTGTGTAATAAGCAGAAAGTAAGGTTATAGTTACTTTTCTGGCTGTATTGGCTGAAGTTGGTGTAGATGACCATTTTAGTTAATTTTACATATAATTTTTCTTTATTTTATTAATAAAATACTCTCTCCGTCCCATTGGACTTTGCCAACTTTCCCTTTTTGGTTGTCACAAAAACTTTTGCTACTTTACTATTAAAGCAACTAATTTGTGGTTCTGCACATTTCTCTCTCCTCTGCACAAATCTCAACCACACAGTTTTTACTATCCTTATTTCTCACTTACTTTGCACTTGGCAAAGTCCACCGAGACGGTGGTAGTATATTCTAAACATAATTTTTTCTTAAATCAACAGAATCGGCCAATGCAGCTACTTCAGCCAGAACTTCATATATTTTAGCATAATCAGTCAAATTAATCGATTTTCATGCTTCCAAACGGGCTCTTATTTTCTAAATAAACGTGCCAAATGAGAAGCTTAGGCCGTGACTTTATCCCACATGCAAATTCATTTTGGAAAAATGTTGTACGACACAATTTTTACTTTCTTATTTCATATTCAAATCAACTATTGCAACATTTTAAGAAATCATGGAGAAATATAATATACGAAGTACTTTTTCTATTGAAAGAGGAGAATTATAATATACTATCATCCGTTCTTTAATTTTTGCAACAATTTGACTTTCACGTTTGTTAATGCACAACTTTGATTGTAATGGTATTTAATTATGTATTAGTAAATATTATAAAAAGTTGATATTTTAGAAATTCACATTGATGTGAATTCAATAACATTTTATACGTAATAATTTGATTATGTATATTAGTAGAAAATTATGATCAAAATAAGGTATGTGATCTGAATAGTGCAATTATCACAATGATGCAAGAATTAAAGAATGAAGGAAGTACTTGATAAGCATTATAATAAGGGGGTGTTTGGAACTGATTCCGCTTCTGCTTCTTTTTGAAAAGCAGAAGCAGAATCAGAATCAGATTTCAGAAGCTGGTACCCCCCCAACTTCTAAAAAAACCGATTCTGAGAGTAAATTAGAGCTCCAGAAGTGATTCTGGAATTTCACCCAAACACTCCAGCTTCTGCTTCTGCTCCATGAAGGAGCAGAATCAGTTTTGAGAATCAGATCCAAACATCTCTAAGTACTGTACCCTAGGGTTACTATGTAATTCTCGGGAAAATCACTATATATTATACTACTTAACTACTTCATAATAAGCTAGCATTATATAACTTAAATATGTAGGTTACAATAATTATTATAATGCTCCATAAATAAACATCTTAAATAACTTAATGTAGTAACCGTGAGTTACAAACTTACAATAATTAATATAATGCTCCATGATTAAGTATCTTAAATAACTTAATTAATAATTACTCCGTATATTTCTTCTATCGTCATCATCATATATGCTATTTAATGTTCCTAATAAAACATCAATTAAGACACTTTAATAATCGAATTGTTGGCAGCAAATACATTTTCACCTGAAATCCCACCATGTTACTTTTATATATATAAAGATAATACCAGAATAGTAAATATCTTTAAATGAGTTAAATATGAGAGAATGTAATAACATTAGTCTCTACATATTTACCGTTATATTACTTCATTATTTTTACTGTTACTATGGATAAGTAATAACTCTTATTTTCAGGAAATGTGTACTCATATATTTTGTAGTTAGAAGTCTTATTTTCTATTTGAGAAAACTTGAAATTTGATTCTTGTCAACCACATATAAGATGCGTCTAACCGACCTGGTTCCGATAGGTATGTATCCAGAATAAGAAATCTAGACTAGCCAAGTATATGGGTTAGATATGAAACAATATACTCCATCCGTTTCTAAATAAACATTCCATTTTTCTTTTCGATTGGTTCTAAAAAAGTTACATTTCCGCAAAACAATGCAAAATGATGCAACACAGTACCAAAAATTGTCAAAACAATGACAAACGGTGTCATTTTTTTAAAAAATTTTGTGCAAAACAAAGTGACACTTTTAAATATAGGCTTGTCAACTATTTAATGAGTTTGGGTCTCAAATATTACATTCTGACCCGTACCCGGCTTGATAGTTTGCCGCTTTTGCTACTCGTTGAAGTTGGGGATGATTGTTCGACCCTCTCCAATCCCCCAACGTATCCTGCGATTAGCATATTCCAGCTCTACTTTCCAAAGATCTTCAATGTCTAATGATTGCCAGGTTTTTTCACTTTCTTTTTTCAGTTGTGAGTTGTAGAAATGCACTCTAAAGTCATAGCTCTTAATAAGTATAAACTGAATGTAGCTCTCAAGCTCTGGCAATTACAATTATCTTTGTTGTCTATGGTAATTATCTATGTAGCACGGAAACTCTCCGGAAAGAATACGTTTCCCGTTTCCTCATTATTTTCGCGTTTCCGTGCAACGTAGGTAATTATTAATGAACTATGGGATAAAGGCGGGTCAGCTCAGTCAGTTGTGCACGAAAGGCTTCCACCAGCCTATCAGTATCAGTATGCTAGTAAAATATGGAGGAGGTTTGGGATTGCCATTGAAAACTTGTGCCAATGAAATTAGATGACCAAAAGAAACGTTGAGTTCATAAATCGTAATCTTCCTAATGAATTCACAGTTTCGCCTCATCTGGTATGTCAACTGGGAGATTTTTCATTTTCGGTAATAGGAAATTCTGGGATGCATTTCTAAGCAAGTTCATTCTTACCCTGTTTTTAATTATGTATTATTTTTTCTTGATTTATTAAAAAACGTAAATGTAGTTTGTAGTGGAAGATGAGGCCTTGAGCCATCCTAGCAGTTTTGCTCTCACTAAGGCTTTTTAAGAATTTCATTGCCCTCTCTGGCTCTCTGACTTCGCAATCTGTAGTTTGCACGCTTACAAAGGCCATGAGTTAATCCCCCCGCCCCGAATTTCAAGTGTTTTCTGCTATTAGTGAAAACTTTTACAGCACGGTAAATGCTTCTTTGGTATTTTAGAGAATGCCAATTAAGAGGCACATTTGATGAATAAGAAAGTCACTTTCAGGGGATATGAGAGATTAGGAGCACATCATCTTTTGAACCTTGGCTTGAATTTGAAGTTTAATGTTAAGAACTCGATCAAACAATTTCACATGGAAAATATTCAAAGTGGAAGCTATTCAAGGGGTGCTTTGGTTGTCTTCGAAGGGCTGGATCGTTGTGGAAAGACATCACAGTCTAGCAGATTGTTAAAATACTTGGATGAAACTGGGCACTCCGTTCAGTCATGGAGATTCCCTGATAGAAACACCTCTACTGGGAAAATGATATCTTCTTATCTTTCCAACCAGTCTTATTTGGATGATCATGCTATTCATCTCCTTTTCAGTGCCAACCGCTGGGAGAAGAGGTATGGTTGTCAGTCATGTGACCAAACTAATTGCCTTCTTGTATTCGCCAAGTAATGGTTGTGCTTAAGAATTGACTAATTTACAGGTATAGTAATAAAAGATTCTGTGTAGGACTGTGTAGTGTTTAGGGTATCTTGGATCTCAAAAAAACCTAAAGGACAATTATGACAAGGAAAACAATTTTAGTGTTTGGCTTTACCTGGGAAAAAATGAAATGTGACTACACACACATTCTTAGTATTTATGCACTCATAGAAATAAATACATAATCTGACTTTGAACAAACATATACCACAAAATCTTCAAAATTAAGTCTATCTTTTATTTTATTCTAAATTTTCTTTCCTCCCAGTTTTCTCTCTATCGTGTTCCCTACAATGTGATGGGACCCTTCCCCGGACCCTCGCCAGGGCAGACATGCCTTGAGCTTAATGGGGGCACATACCCCCAATAAAATCTGAGTTTTTAATTTTGAATAGGTGTGTTTTAGTAAAAAAAAAATAGTAGTGCCCCCAATGGAAAAAAGAGAATGCCCCCATTAACTCCTAAAGTTTCAGAATTCAAAGCAACTAATCAAGTATGTATAGTTTCTCTATTTTCGTTGGGTTTCTCCTATTTACTTTTTCCTCTTCGTAGTTTGCTTTCGTATATATATCTTTTTGTAACTCACATTTCTTTTTAAATTTAGCTAATTGTTGATTATAATTTCTACATTTATTTTGTACTCCCTCTCCCTTAAATTATTATTCTTTTCCTTTTTAGATTGTCCCGAAGTAATTGTCTTGTTTCTTTTTATTTACAAAAAATATGTTGTTTGACCATTTCAATTTTCTATACTCATACTCAATTATATCTTTAATTTACTTTTTCAATCATTTTCTTCATAAGTGTACAGAGAGTAACATTTCATTAAATATTAATTTATGTGATTGCAATAGCCAATAGGTGCTGTTTCATGGAATAAGATTCCAAAATCTCTTTCTTTTTATAGGGTGATTGATTAATAGTTTGCACATGATTCAATAAATTTGTTTCTTTTATTCTCATCGAAGACAATCATAATAGTTCAATTTCATTTCTTTAATTAGTGTCAATTTTGATAGGTGTTTTGGGTGTCTTCTGTCTTGTATCTTGAAACTTTATATTTTGTATATTTATTTTTTTATGGTTAGTACTCAAATTTTTCTTGAACAAATTAAGGCTTGGATGTTGTTGTTCAATAGTTGTTGTTCTTGTAATGTTTAAACTATGAACCAAAGTCTTTCAAATTGCCAAACAGTAGGTGTTAGTGTTTAAATGATAACTGAAGGTAAATGAAATAATCAAGTATTGTTTTGTATTAAATTTGAGGTTTTGTTAGAAGAGTTGTTGATTGGTTACGATATGGGTTGATAAGCATGATTACCTTGTTCTAACATGATAGAATTTATTGTTAAAATCAAAGGAGATGAAATTAGAAATTAAGTAATCAATAGTTAAAGAGTTTTAACTATGTGAGTATTAATATTTAATATCAAAACACCTTATGATAAGTATAATTTAATTTGAAAAGATGAAGTTTGAATCTTTTTTATAATTAAAAAGTAAAGAATAAGAAAAAAAAATTAACGTGATGATTGTTGAATATATATTAAATTCCTAAACCAATTTAGGAAACAAATAACATCATGTCCGGGTACATATTGAATCAATAATCCAATTTAGGAAACAAATTAAAATGACCTGTGTATTGAATACTACTTTCAAGAAAACTTTCACTAAGCAAATGTAGTTAACTCTAATAATTTCTATTATGACTACATATATTAATTGGAGTAATGCATGTTTTAAGTTTGATATTTGAATAATATTTGTACTATTTCATTTAGCTCATGCAGCCGAGCCCCCAATAATAATTTATCCTGGATACGCTACTGACCCTCGCCTTGTGGGATGCCAATGTTCACCGGGCTGCCCTTTTATTTTGTTCCCTACAATTCCATGGGTTCCGAACAGACCCTTCGTTAATGCTTAAATTCTTCCATGTGGTTTGAAATATCTTCTGAATGTCAACTGGAAATATTATTGCAGGTCATTGATGGAAGAAGCTCTGAAGAGCGGAACTACTGTCATTGTAGATAGATATTCTTATTCCGGGGTGGCTTTTTCATCTGCAAAGGGACTTGATATCCAATGGTGTATGGTACATACGTCGTTGACTGTACTATGTAAATACAATGTTTTTATTAGTCTGTGATGTTGTGAGGCCTCTCAATGTGCAGGCTCCTGATATAGGATTGCTTGCTCCAGATCTGGTATTGTTTCTTGACATTTCACCTGAGGTAATCATCTTTTCAGATTGAAATTTGGAAATGGAGACGGTTAGAAGATGTTTTTACTTTCCATGGAAAGTGGTCAAGATAGAATTTAGGTCACTTTTGGCAAGGGTGTCATTTTCTCACCTCCTCCCTTGCCATTCACTTTCATTTGAAATGATAGGAACTCTAAGCTAATGTTGACCACGATCCACCAAAGTTTGAAGAGTCAAAGTGTGTGGTTTATGATGGAAAATAAATGGGTGGAACAGTGTGTGCTTTTATTGAATATCCACATGGGTGTCCGGTATCTCAAACCTTTTGAGGATATCTTTTGAGTGAGGTGGCCCATTTGGGCTCACTTTGACATGGTATGATAGTCTAGGCCTAATCTCACGACTTTCACTAAGAAAGCAAACATTCAATTATAATTAATAATAAACTCCCCCTTAACAGCATATAAAATTCTAGCCATTGGCACCAATATTGTGTGATTGCTTTTAAATTATATTTGGATGCATGCTTTGTCAGGGTGGTTATGATATCAATGATACGACAATGCACTTTATTGATAAGTAAATCATCTCTAAGTCACTAAGAATAAATTCATTATTGAAATACTTTAGATAGCAGCTAAAAGAGGAGGTTATGGTGGTGAGAGGTATGAGCAATTGGAATTTCAAAAACAGGTTGCCCAATCATACCAGGTCCTTCAGGATTCATCATGGAAGGTAAGGGACTTTAGTCCATGTGTGGCTGGGTCATTACATTTACGGTTTTACCTCCTAATCTCTTAGGAGACGTTTACTTCGCTGCTAAAGTCACAGTTAGGTTAGTAAGACATGTGAAGTAAACACGCACGCTGCTTAAAAAGCCGCTTACTAACCGAAATAGATGCTTAAAGTGCCGCTTACTAAGCATACCACCCCCCATGTATTAATTAAGCGACACTTTAAGCTTAATCAGTTTCCGAATTTACCCCTTGCTCTTACCCTTATTGTTACCCCCTACCCACCCTACCCTACTACCCCGACCCCACCCCGACCCTGACCCTACCCACTACCTCCATCCATCCTCGTACCTTACCCCTACTCGACCATTACCCCACCCCCACCCCGCGTACCCATTTTCCCTACAATGACCCTACCCCACCTCGGCCCCGCCTCGATCCATACCATACCCCTACCTCGGCCCCACCTGATCTCGACCCCACCCCTATCCTACCCCTACCTTTACCTTACCCCAATCCCTACCCTACTTACCCGACCTCACCCAACCCCTTACCCACCCCTACCCATACCACCTACCCCAACCCTAACACATCAGCCCCACCTTGACCCCACCCTACCCCCTAGGGCCCCTCCTACCCCAACCCCTTACCACATTGGCCCCACCCTACCCTACCTTACCTGACCCCACCTCTACCCCTACCCTACCTACCCCCAACCCCAACCCCTAGGCCCCTTACCACCCTACCACATTGGCCCTAACCCTGAACCCACCCTACCTCTTACCCTAGGCCCTTACCACCCTACCCCAGCGGGACCACCCCCGACCCCACCCTGTCCTGCCCTACCCTACCTTACCCCACCCCTACCCTGCCCCTTACCCCTAGGCCCTTTACCACCCTACCCCAAAACCCTACCACTACCACATTGGCACCACCCCGACCCCACCTACCCCTTACCCTTTACCCCCCCCCCCCCCCCTTACCACCCTACCCCAACCCCCTACCACGTCAATCCCACCTCCGACCCCACCCTACGTGGGGTAGGATGGCGGTAGGATGGGCCAGGATCTGGGTGGAGCCAAGGTAGGGGCAATCTAGTAGGGGTGGTAGGGGGTGGGGTAGGGTGGTAAGAAGGTGGGTGGGGTTGGGGCTGAGATCGGGGTGGGGCCGAGGTAGGGGCAAGTGGTGTATTGAGTGGGGTTGGGTCGTGGTTAGTGGTAAGGGTGGGGTTGGGGTAAGGTAGGGTAGGGGCTGGGGTCGGGGTAAGGTAGGGTAGGGTATGGGTAGGAGTAGGGTAGGATAGGGTGTATGGTAGGGGTTTAGGGGGGGTAAGTGGGTGGGTGTGGTGGTAAGGGCCTAGGGGTAGGGGTGGGGTCGAGGACGGGGTAGTGGTGGGGTCAAGGTAAGGTAGGGTAGGAGTATGGTGGGGTCGGGGTGGGGCTGATGTGGTAGGGGGTAGGGGTAGGGTGGTAAGGGCCTAGGGGGTATAGGGTGGGGTAGGGGTAAGGTAGGGTGGGGGTAAGGAGTTGGGGGGTATGAGTACACATAATACTTGTGTTCATGAATGTTTGTGTGTCTATATATGTATAGGGTTATTTTGGACATTTTAATGCTAAACGATGTTTTAAACCTTTTGGAGTAAACACGATCTTACAACGTTGCTTATTTTATGCGCCGCTTATTAACGCGGGTCTTAGTAAGCATCGTTTAGTAACCCGTGAAGTAAACATGTCCTTAGTCTTATTTTGTTCAAAAGGGGGATGAGAAATGAGGGAGATGGGAGGGGGGGGGTGAAAGATTTCTATAAGTATGCGATGTTTGGTTCTAACTTCTAAATAAATTTAGCAATTAAAAAATCGCCTCCCGGTTGGCATTGTAAATTCTAGCTCAGTCATATAGTTCAATATGGGATTAATCTCACGACTTTCCTAAATATTGATGTGTAATTATTATTTAAGAAAATCTGCTATTGTCACCACCACCTTAATCTCAACTACTGGGTGGGGTCTTTGACATGAAATTGATAGTGTTAATTAATAATTTTAAGTTAGTACCAGTGTAAATGTGTGTAAAAAACAGTGGGGTGTGGGTGTTTACTTGAAATTGATGGTCAATTATTTATTCTAACAGTTACCCATATAAATGTGTGTAACAAGAACAGTGGGAAAGCTTTACATTGATACCCTTTTTTTCACAACCTTCGAAAGGAAGAATAATACTCCGTATTGAGTAGTGTTTTAGAAAAGTATGTAGAAATAATGTATTACATATAATTTCCGTCGTAATAGAAAAGTGCTGCTCCATATTAGGAAATAAGACTACATTTATGGGCCCCATCAAGTCCTATCTATTGACCTCTGTTGGGTGTGTATTTCAGCTCAGGTCTCCAACCAAAACAACTCACACACACCACCCAGGATTGTTTAGCCACTCCACTCACCTTGTTTACCACTCCCTCACACTCTAACTCCACACAAAGGAAGGAAGAGGAGCTCACTGTATTGAACTCACCGTATCTCTCAAAAGGGAAGAGAAGCACTCAATTATAGTAGGCTATTATTTGCTCATGGGTGTCAAAGACAAACAAAAGTGGGGCTCGAGACAGGCTAGCAAAAGTCAGGAGGCCAAGAGACAAATAATACCAAGTCAATAAGAGTTGGCAGCGGATAGGAAATGCCAGGCTAGCTAGATCAGTAAGAGTGTAGGAAATAGGAGTAAACATAGGGTGCAGGCCTTAACACAAATAAGTGGAAGGGAAGCCTTGGTAGGACCAATACCTCCAACATTCTCCACCTTATTGGTCCTAGGTGGTGTAGAGTAACAAATACACGGTTGTGAGGAGACTCATCATCGCTGAACCATTACAAGTACATCATTGCGATCATACAAGTAATAGATGAGAACCAAAGTTCCCTTTCGGACCAAGCTTACCGTGCAAACCCACTTCACGATGGACTGAACTCTACCAATCGGTCCTCGAGTTCAGAACCAAAACCATCACAATGCTATTAACAAACACAAGATATGTTAATAGACCACGCAGGCAAGCATCCGGGAAAAGTTGGGGATTCCAACTAATCCAACAACCACACAAAGCAAGTACACAGAAAATAAAAGAAATAATATTATTTCTATAACTAGCACAGGTAGAGCTCACATAATCACTTGGTATCACATTTTCAAAACACAAAGAAAATAGCATACCAAATATCACAAAGATTTTAATTAATAGAGAATTAAGCACATTTAAAGCAAATTCAGAGGAAATATAGTCAAACACATTGCACATATTATTTCTCACATGCTTCCTAATGTCTCTATCTCTAATAACATGGCAATCACGCAACTCAAGCATATTGCACACAACATTCATATCATGCTCCACCTTAATAGAAATATTATTTTCTTTATTTTCAACATGAAAAACATTTTCATTCACAAATTTGGGTTTGGTTTCAACAAGTAAATCGGAATGAACTTCAACAGGCAAATGCTCCACCTTATTTGGAGCAACATTAGGAGAAACAAGCAGGCAAGGAAATTCATTTTCAACAAAAATGGCATTTCTACTCATCAACACATTGAAGCAAGTTTCACTCCTACACCAAAGCCTATAACCTTTCATGCAATCATGATATCCTAAGAAAACATATTCCTTAGTCCTAGGTTCAAATTTATCATTCAGACGATTCACATAAGCAGCACAACCAAACACTCTCAAATTTGGCAAGTCAAGTGGTTTGCCCATGAACACAGATTCAGGGCATTTTCCTCCTAAGGGAACAGACGGGGACAGATTAACCAAATCAACAGCATAACAAATAGCTTCCCCCCAGAACTTATTAGAGAGCCCAGATGAAGCTAACATAGCCCTCACCCTCTCTAATAAAGTTCTAACCATCCTCTCAGCAACCCCATCCGGTTGGGGTGTGGAGGGAACAGATTTATGCATAGAAATACCCCAAGTATCACATAAATCACCAAGCTGACTATCACAGAAATCAAAACTGACTGTGGTCCTTAAAAAATTAATTTTCTTACCGGTTTGTTTTTCAACAAGGGTTTTCCAGTTTTTAAACTTATCAAAAACTTCAGATTTATTCTCAATCAACAAAACCCACACTTTCTTTGAAAAATCATCAATCAACGTCAGAAAATAATTTTTCCCACCATGAGTGGAAACACTATAAGGACCCCACAAGTCAGCATGAATACAATCAAGCACATTAGTACACTTAGGCAGATCAGGAAAACCAACTCTAGACTGTTTTCCTAGCACACAGGGTTGCACACAATTCACAGAATCAAGTACGGGTTCAGCATGACAAACATACAAGTTGTTCTTCATCTCAGCTTTGAAAACAACTAAACAACCCTTCACAACTTTCATGATTCCCTTTCCCCATTTTCCCTTCAAACCCACATTTTCAAGAGAAGCACAAGATAGCAAATTACAGCACAGCTCAGGAACATGCCTAACATTCTTCAAAGTAAGCACATAACCAGAAGAAAACCTAAGGCATACATCTCCTATTCCTAGCACATTGCATTTCTTCTTATTTGCTAAAGACACAAAGCCATGCTCAATCTCTCTATAGTTTGAAAAAACATTTTTCATAGGGGACATGTGAAAACTACAACCAGAATCTACCACCCAATCTGATTTACCCAAGGAATCAGATATCACAGAACTCAAATAGTCATAATCACATAGATTTTTCATCATAAGCACATCACCTAAATCATCTACGCACGTAGTCAAATTAGCATGCTCACTATGCTCATTTTTCTTAGATTTAGGACAGTCTCTTATGAAATGACCAGATTCGTGACAATAATAGCAACGCCTCGAATTAGACCTAGACTTAGATCTATGTCGTCTACTATTATTTTCTCTACCCCTCACATGCATAACTTCCTCGGATTTTCTACCCTCACCTATCTGTTTTAAATCTAATTCCTTACTCTTAAGACCATTTATCACAATGTCAAGAGTCACATTATCTCTACCATACTTGATAGCAGATTTCACATCACCAAAGGAATCAGGAATAGCATTTAAAAGAGCAATAGGGGAATAATCATCTATATGCTTATCACCACACAACTTAATATCCGAAATAAGTTTGGTAAAAACATCTAGATTTTCTTCAATATCTATAGACATATCTAGTCTAAATTTGAAGAACTTTTCAAGTAAAAATATCCGGTTAGGCAAAGAGGTCTCAGTATACAGTTCATTCAATTTATCCCACAGAATTTTAGCACTCTCTAAAATTCCAACTTTTCTAATCACAGAGTCAGATAAGTTCAAATAAATCACAGAACATGCATTTTCATTCATTTCAGCCCTTTTATCTTCTGTGTCAGAAATTAAATAGGTTTCACCAACTGCTTTAAAACATTTTTGTTGTATTAAAATACATTTAATTTTTTGCTTCCAAATGCTAAAATCAGATTTTCCATTAAATGGAGCCATACCATACTGATTATAAGCAGACATTTTCACAGAGGAAAAATAAGCAACAAAATAAACTGTAAATTTTCGCTAAAAACAATTTAAATATTTATAAGGCTACAAATATACGGAGCAACTAGCACGAACACGCGGGGAGTATTAATGAGCACCAAACTCAACTTCAAACCCCTTGTTCTTCCGTATAAGCACAAATAAATAATAAATTTTTAGCACAAACACAATACAACAATTCAATCAATTTTAAAAGCAGTAATAAACCTAAAACATAATTTCTACACAATAAAAGATTAAATCACTACAAAAGCGATAAAAAGGATAAAAGTCAATATACCGGAGCGAAACCCTAGGAGAGGCGTTTCGACCTTACCCACCCAATTTAAAAAATTGGGATTTTTCGGACGGCGTTGACTGCCTTTGACTGGCTTTGACCGATTTGACCAAGTCCACCAAGGGGCAAGAGCTCCTCTATTCTGCACCAGCAACTTCACGTAAAGTCACCTACTGTGCCTCAACGTCAAGCCTCCAGGTCCAGCTCCAAGATCCAGCAATCCAGCCCAAAACCAAGCCCAGCAAACCAGCAGCCAAGTAGCCCCACGCATCCACCTTTGACCAGCCCAAAAGTTCAAGTCTCAAGCTTCCAATGAACAGTCCAGGTAAAATGTTCTCTGCGTCCTTTGTACGCGAGAAAGCTTCTGCGCAAGATTCGAACGGAGATCGGAAGCTACCGAGTTTCACTGTCTCAGCCTCCAGCGACGTACGGCCGACCTCAGCAGCTCAGCGACGAACACCACGCGTCCAGCTTCACAGCCCTGCTCCAGACCTGCGTTGGTTCGGGCCAATGCTTCCAGATCCGGTCCTCTGCATCAGCTTCCGAGCTCCTCAAATCGTCTCCCTGCGGAATTCGAAGAACAGGTTTGGGCGAGCTCTTGCGACTGTGGATGGCGGCTTTCGGGTGACAACTTCATCGGCGAACAAATCGGCGATCGAAGACCTCCCTGTGACGGCTGGTGTCCTGTGGTGGAAAGCGGCGAGAGTCCACCTCCTGGTCAGCGACTCCCACGCGGAATACAGCTAGCTTCGATGGTGGACGAAGCACCTAGCTCCTGCGAACGGCGAACGAGAAATAGCAACCACTAACGACGGTGGCGATTCTCCGATTGACGAGCTCCAGCAGCTTCCAGGTCAGACAAAGCTTCAGGGACCTGCGACGAGCCCTTTCCGACGGCGGACGGCAGCGGACGGCAGCGGACGGCGGCGGACGGCGGCGGAGTACGGCGGCAGACGGCAACCTGGCTCTGATACCACTGTTGGGTGTGTATTTCAGCTCAGGTCTCCAACCAAAACAACTCACACACACCACCCAGGATTGTTTAGCCACTCCACTCACCTTGTTTACCACTCCCTCACACTCTAACTCCACACAAAGGAAGGAAGAGGAGCTCACTGTATTGAACTCACCGTATCTCTCAAAAGGGAAGAGAAGCACTCAATTATAGTAGGCTATTATTTGCTCATGGGTGTCAAAGACAAACAAAAGTGGGGCTCGAGACAGGCTAGCAAAAGTCAGGAGGCCAAGAGACAAATAATACCAAGTCAATAAGAGTTGGCAGCGGATAGGAAATGCCAGGCTAGCTAGATCAGTAAGAGTGTAGGAAATAGGAGTAAACATAGGGTGCAGGCCTTAACACAAATAAGTGGAAGGGAAGCCTTGGTAGGACCAATACCTCCAACAACCTCTCTTCTATTTTGCTGATTTAGATTGTAGATGCAAACCTTCCCATTGAAGACATCGAAATAAAACTGAGAGAACCTGTGTTGGAATGCATGAAAAAATGTCGAGAGGGGAAACCCTTGTTACCGTTGTGGTCGAGCTAGCTTAGTTTGTTTATGCCTTCTTCTCATAAGGGTCCATTTTCCTGTGTAACATTACAGTTCATGCGGTGACTTCTTAGCAATAGATATCATCACTTATCAAGTTAACAGTGACATTAATACTGATCTGATGTTTCATTTTTCTTTCTTTTTTCTACTCTGGTAAGTGTAAAACCTCTGTGTCCCAAAAACATTGCTCTGACCAAGGTACAACTTTTAATTCAATGATTGAATAGGGGTGGACTTGGAACCGGAATTGAAGGGATTGGACCGTACTGGCACAGTGGCACCAGGAACCGCTCCAAACCGGGTGCAGTTCCGGTTCCTCTTAACTGGGACCGGACCGGTTAGGTTTATTATTACGGAGTAATTTATTACTGCGTATTATTGTTATTGTTTTAAAATAGGGTATTTGGACCCGTTTGGGACCTGAACCGGGTTTCACCCGGAAATCTTGCTTCCGGTTCCACTTCCGGTAAGGGAATATCGGACCGGGAGCTGGTCCGGAACTCTGGAACATTATTGTAGCTCCAGTATGTGGCAATGTTGAGAAAATTGGACTTGTCACCAAAGTGGAAAAGCCAACAGATCAATGGTAAAAGTGTAAAACAGACTCAATTCGGTGGAGGTCATGATTCCTTTTGTTTGGGTTGGGTTGGGTTGGGGTGAGGGTAATGGTATGCATGTTGACCACGCTTGTTTTAAATGGGCAGATGTTATAATGCTTCTGAATTAAACGCCAATCTTGGTATTGGTTTATATATTTCTCTATTCTCTTACAAAACATCAATAATTTAGTTTCTACTTTTTTAGAACGGTTTCAAGTCTTGGTAGAGTTCATAGTTGCACTATGCTGATGGAGTAGCTACCAAAACGTGTTTTGATGTTACTTTTACAACATTGTTATTTTGTAGTTCAAAAGAGTTTAAGAGCACTTTAGAAGGCCAGGGCGCGAGGCCCCATTATAGAAGCTCTCCGGATTAATGGGACCTTCAATGTTTCTCAGAAATAAATTAATATTTTAATTTATACTCGGTGTAACAAAGTAGCGTAAAATAAATAAATAAGAGCATCTCCAATGGTGGTCTATTCACACTAATAAAAATTTGCACATCATCACCGTCAACATTGCTTCTAATATATAGGTCTCCAACACACTCTTATAAAGCTGACCTATCAAAAATTAATGTAAACACTGTCAATTTGACTTTTTTTTTGAAACCGTCAATTGTTTTAAGATCCTTCATGACATGGTGACTCGCCAAACTTGAAGGTGCATATACATACACAATGGCACCACTAATCACATGTGTGCTTTCCCAAGGTTTTCAATAATAAGATTTAGCTTCATATCATAATGATGAAGAAAAACAGTACTACGTATATTATATCTATAAAGCAAATTAAAAATCAATTTAAGCCACATATATTAAGTAAAAGGAACATTCTTTAATGTAAATGAAAATTCACGTTCAGTTTACTTCGGATGAAGAATTTAAGGACCTGAAAATGAATACTGTGCAAGAGAACACTAAGAATAAAGCAAAACTAAAAAAGACTCGATAAAGAATTAAGATTGATCTAAATTCACTTGCTTCAAATAAGAACTATTTATGAGATCGATTATGATACGATATAGAGAAATCATGTGGTTTGGGTGGATTATTATATAAATTTAGATCGTGTTTTCCAATAAGATCTAAATTTACTGGCTTCAGTCCAGTGAACTATTTACTAATAAAATCGATCATTGGAAATTAAATACTCCCTCTGTCCCAAAATTAACTTCTCACTTTCCTTTTCGGACAGTCCCGAAATTAACTTCACACTTCAAAACTTTCCTTATTTGTCAAATAATCTACATAAAAAAATGTCAAACAGTCTCCAAGCAGTGTCAAACAGTGTTTAAACAGTGCAAAACAGTGCACTCTACAGTAAAGTCAAATTTATTTTCTTAATCTGTGTAAAGTCAAACCGTGAACTTAATTACGGGATGGAGGGAGTATTAATTTTCAAACATTAGATTACTGTGATTGTATGATCAAAAGTGACGGGCAGAAAAGAAAGAGAAAATAGCATTTCGTGACTGAGAAAAGGGCGTTGGCATGGTAAGTCCAGACATTGAGATCGTCTCCATCAGAGAAAAAGCGCTTCAGCAATTGGAAAATGATAATCCCGATAATTAGCTCAAATCAAATGATTTAAGACTGTTGTTTTACTGACCTTCGCTTGCTGCGTGAGCAAGGAGGCATCTCTGCTTCTTTGAAAGTCTTTGAAACACTACTCTTCTTCTTCATTTTATGGTCTTCAAAGATGAGTTTCTGCTTCCCACGATGTTCTCCATCGTTGTTTTTCTTGAACAATCAAATACATTTTTTTTTATAAGGATTGGAAATGATTATGATCAATTGTGTAAGTTTCTGCTTAGGTGAAGCGGAATGTTTGATTAGGGATAGATAAACAATGATTTCTCATGGAGGTTGAAGTGAATCCAAGAAACCAGGACGATGAGATGTGGTTTAATGGACGGGCTGTTGAGATGGACGGTTGAGATGCAGAATAATGTTAGGCAAGAGATTGAGACAACAGTAAAAAGTAGGATTTATTTATAGATTATAGATTTTCTTTAAATAATTCAAACTATCCGTTATCCCAAACAAACCCAACTTTTGATAATGATGGCAAGAAGAATCCCAAAACAGTCAAATTTGACTTTTTTTAAATCGCCAATTTGACTGTTTTGAGATCCTTCTATCCGTTATCCCAAACAAACCCAACTTTTGAATAATGATGACAAACCCAACTTTCCATATTAACAATGTAGCATTAAAGATGCTCTAAGACGTAGAGATGCATTACAGCCTTATACGCCAATACAGGGCAATATGATGGGCACCATGGCCATTGTAAATTTGTAATGTAGCCTCATTTGCCGTTGTCGATTTTCGGCAAGGCCCCATTAAGCACCACCGCACTCCGGCGAGTATTCATCTTGTGCCTCCGTGTCTTCCACAACCTCCATCTTCTCCTCTGCCGCCATTACATTTGAAATCGCACTTATCAGCTGCCGCTTTTGAAATTACCACTGCCCAAACACCTCATCTGACACTTCCTCCTCATCACCCTACACCTCCTCCGCCTCATATTGCGTGCATCACCACTAACTCCTCTGAGAGATTGGTGTACATGTGTATCATGTGAAGAAAACTACACCTCATCTGGCACTTCCTCCTCATCACCCTACACCTCCTCTGCCTCATATGGCGCGCATCACCACTAACTCCTCTGAGAGATTGGTGTACATGTGTATCATGTGAAGAAAACTACATAAAATGTCATCTTACTCGGTGGACAGGCCCGATCCTAACATTTTATGGGCCCGAGGCAGTACAAAAAGATCTACCAAAGTTGTGTGCCTCGAGTGCCATGGATTTCCGATCGACCAAATTGCGATGAGGGCAACATAAGACGACAACGGCAGATTCCATCTTGACGAAGAAGATAATCAGCGAAAAAAGTCCGATCATACTTGCACATGATTCAGACATCATGTATAAGAAATTTATTGAGACAAAAAGTCTGATCCTACATATTTACATAAATACCCGGTTGCATCATGCTTAAGGTACGACCGACTGTACCTTATAATATGCAATCAAATAGACCCTTTTCATTTTTTGTCACTTCATTACCAATGCACTAAGAACATTAGAGATGGACAAAATATGCCGTACAACCGGTTGTACTGTGAACACGGCACAACCGGGTATTTTATGCTTAAAGAAATGAGTATAGCCTTTTTCTATTTTTTTACAAAAATAATTTGTTGCGAGTAATTTAATTATTCAAGTTCGCAAATTTACTGGGTCAGAAAAACAGAAATGAGTATAGCTTTTTAAAGAAATGAGTATTTGTATTAAATTATAAAATTAACAAAATAAATATTTTGATGATGATATATTATGTAAGCAAAGTTTCTAGTAAGTTATACTCCTTAAATGTATAAAACAACATTTTAAATCAGTTAATTAACAAAATATCAAGCCACAAATCTATAAATTAAAAAACACACAACCACCTTAATTAAAATTTTAATCATCATTCATAAACTAAAAGGATAGTACTATAAAGTCATAACAAATTAAATTAGTTACTATGCATATTTGTCTATGAAAAAATTTAAAGCTTATCAAATTTCAAAGTTTAAGTAAAGTAAAGATAAGTAAAGTAAAGTTTCCAAGTTTTCTTTACAAAAACTATTAAAAAAAGAAAATTTGATTCACTTGGAATTGGGAATTAAGGAAAATAATTTAGGAATTTAATTATACGGATTTAGAAACTATTTTTAATAGACTGACAAGTTTCTTAATTGAAAGTCTTTTTTCAGACACAAGAACATGAAGAACTTTCATGTGTAGTCTATTGTATTAAATATAACACAGTTTATTAAAAAAATATTTTAAAACGGTTCGGTTCGGGTACTAGTTTTTTCAAATATTAAGACCCGATTGGTTCTTAAATTTTTCAAGACCCGTCATGTCCCCAACTGTTTGGGTTTCTAAAATTAGGACCAACCTAACCCGCCTCGAACCTGTGTTATCCGGTCCGACCCACGGTTCTTGTACCTGTTTGTCCGTTCGGGTACTAGTTTTTTCAAATATTAAGACCCGATTGGTTCTTAAATTTTTCAAGACCCGTCATGTCCCGAACTGTTTGGGTTTCTAAAATTAGGACCAACCTAACCCGCCTCGAACCTGTGTTATCCGGTCCGACCCACGGTTCTTGTACCTGTTTGCCCACCGTTATACTCAACTGCATTCTTCTAACAATCAATTGTACTACCGATTTAATATCAATACTCGTTTCTTTTGAATGGTATATTCATTAAATACAACATAAAATATCTGGTTGTATAGTGAATCTCCATTGGAGATCTCTTAGTTCTCATGAGACTAAAAGTTGTTGCTCTTACTTCTGATGAAATTAAAAGTTGACAAAATTCACTTGGAATTTTCGGAATCATATGATGTTATGTACTCGTCCCAATCTCCTATGCAATGCAAGGTGTGAAGGTGCTCAATAGAGACATTTTATCTTGGGAAAAAACTCATAACACTCCTGTACTCTTACACAATTCACGAATGCGGAGTATATAAAATAAAATGAATAAAATCAAAAGCTGTACTGTTTTCTCGATCAAAACACCTTTCTTCTCCCAACTTCCAACATCATCGTTCATCGGCATCTCCCTCCCGATGTAACGAAATTTGAGCCCTAACCCTAGGCTTTCTCTCTCTTGTTTATCTCACATCAGATTCAGACATTTCAACTTTCTGTGAGCAGCTTCTGGTTTAGCATTGCCATTTGCTATCCAAATTTGAGGTGATTATTCCAATCATCGAAGATTTGAACAAGCCCAGAATATATCAGCATCAACACTTCTACCCAAGACTATTTCTTTCTTTCCTTCTTTTTCTTATAATCTCTATTCTTTTAAGTTTCAGCTCAGAAAGGGTGATCCACTGATCCGTATTAAAACCATTGATGTGGTACATGTTTTCGTATTTAATACAAACCCGATCTTCTTGGCCACCAAAACCTTGAACTGGCTTCCGAAAATCATTTCTTTTCTCAGAAACTTTGACTTTGA